CTAGGAGCTTCAAATCAATCGATGCTGACTAAGCGGTCAGAGTGACCAATCAATGTATCGGGAGGCGAAGCGCTTGGCTGAGCAAGGCGCAATGTTCGCATACTGATATTTAAACCCCACGACCACCCCCAGGGCGACTCGATCCATTACACACCAGTATTCCAAAACCAAAATGCCTAAGAACACCTGTGCTCGTTCGTGCCAAATTTTGGCCTGTATACACTCCAACCTTCCGCAATCGCCTCAGAGGGACACCAAGAAAACCGCAGATTCAATTGCTTATTCCACAATTGACGTCCATAAAATCAACACCATCCCTCCACTAGTTGCTCTACCTTCTGAACTGCTCTTAAAAATCCTCGGAAATTTGCAAGATCTCGAAGACTTTTTCTCTTCAATACTTGCCTGCCGCCGGATTTTCGATGTTTTCCAAGAGGCACAAAGACCACAAAGACTACTAATCGAGTCAACTTTCGCCAAATATCTTCATCTAAGGACCGACTGGGAAATCTACAGAGTGCTGATCCAGCTCAGTCAGATTATCCGACGAGATATCGTACACAGAGACATTGTACGGCACATCTTTGAAACCGGATGGGAAATTTTCAGACAAAGACATCAAGAGGAGCTACTTATTCCATTTGGAAGAGCCCTCGCATGGTCCTATGTCTTGAATGAACGCCAAGCTGATGCAATCTGTCTTTTGCAACTGATACAGAAGGGAGAGCCACCCTTTGGATGGTCGACAAGAACATCGTCACAGCAGCCTATTCAACCGATCAGAGAGCTTTTGGACCAGCTAGACTCGGAGGAGAACGGTGTTGATAGAATGTACATCAGCTCTGACTTGGACCATCCGCTGGTTGAGATTAACGGAAAATCCAAACCAAGTCTCAATGACAAGGAGCGGGCCATTCTTTTGAGGAATGGAATCTTATTCAGGGAAAACTCAATTGTGACGAGAAAACGCAAACCTTGTCCGCCGAGGGCCTCGTCCAAGCCTATGTTTTTTTCCAGTCTTGCCTACACTTTTTATCGCAGATGAATCCCCAATGAGACCATGAACGGGGACGCTGTGGAAGCTCTAGCTCATCAGCTCCCAAGGTCATGTGCGGGGGATGGACAGCACGGGTCTTTACGCGGCCTATGAATGGCGGGTAAGTCGCTGGCAAAGCCTGTGTCAAGTAGGCTGCATTCTATGATTGCGAACTGCTGATAGGGGCTGCATGATGCCACTTAAAGCGACCAGAATGCCGTTTCTCAGAAGCATAGCTAGATATTTCGTCTCTCGGTACTTGGAATTGATCCACAATATATTGGTAACTAACTTGTTATAGTTAGTAACTAACTTGTTATAGTTAGTAACTACCTTGCATTACTGAAGCCGCCTAACGTAAGTGCTATTATGGTATGGGGTAGATGTCTTATAAATCCAATAAGGCAATGCGTTTTCATGCTGTCATTTAAGTGGTGATTCTGAACAATAGTGTACCAAAACTCGGGACCTTGATGATGAAAGGTAAGAAGGGCAAAGGGCTTTTCTTGAGGGGTGATAAACTGCTTGTATAAATTACAACGTTCTTTCATATATGTATTTTCACGTGATCGTATGTTTCAGTACAATTCAGTTATTTAAATACGGGCTAAGCTGAAAAGGCACTAGCGTGTTTCTAGATAGGGCTCGAGGCATAATGTCTCTGTGCATCTGGTGGAACTGATTTCGGTCCATTGTGTACTTTGACCAGCTAACCCAAATCTGCTTCTTTTGATCGGCTGGCATGGTGGCACTGGACCTGGTGGGAATCACATTCTCACAAGCACTCTCTAGCTTGTCGGTCCATAATGTAACTTGAGATGTCAGTACAGCGGAAATCCAGTAGGTCAAAGGGAAGAACTTATCAGGTGCCCCAAACCGAAGACCTGCTCGATTCTGCATAGCCAAGTGATAGTAATGGAGAACAAATTTCTTGGGAAAGAGGACGTATTTATAGGTTTCTCGGCGTTCACCGTGCTCTATTAGGGAGCAAACGTTGGACACGATGCCTATCCTAAGTGAGGCCTGTTGCAACCCATGCCTTCGTTCTACCGCAACTATTTGCAGCGAAATACTTGGTGCGATTTTAGATGATCTCCGTGAAAACATGCTCGAGTCATGTTGAGAATGAGTCAAAGTGAGTCGGTTAAGAAACGTTGGCTCACTGTTGAATCAACGGTCTTAATATTGAGGCAATGGAGACTGTTCATTCTTTAATTTTATCAAGAGCGCTCACATTTTCATCTAATGGTCACGGGATTGTTCTGGCCTCGCTCGAGTGTTGATTGTCTGAGCTGTGTGGTTCGTACGTCTAGGCTGCGGAAAGCGTCAGGCCGTGGTCGCGCGGGCGCGGGTACTCAACCCATCAACCCGTTGAAGCTTGGCCGTCTTTGCTGACTGGAGTCAACTTTCGAACTTATGACCAGTGTTGAGATACGTTGTTCTTTGCGTTTCTTTTCAATCTTCTAAATTTTGTTCTTACTTCTGGGATTTCTGAGCTCTCCAACGAATGTGGAAAAAGCGTTGTGATTGAATATATATCCTGACCGTTCATCACCAGTGAGACACTAATATGAGGCACATTCCCCAACCACCAACACCACGAGATTGATCACCAGCACCATCATAAACAGACTGCTGGCAGAGTGCTGAATTGGAAGCTGCCTACGCTGGTTGACTTTCATGGTGATAGTGAGACTGAGTAGCTAACCACCTATGTCTGTTAGTCTATAAAGACCAAAGAATTGATGGACATGCTCTTGCCCAGACACTCGACTTTCTCCTACGATCAAGATGGATGCCCCCAACAGCACGCCAGACCAGGAAAAAGAAGGAAAACAGCAGCCCAGTGAATTGCCAATCCTCTGTGAAAAAGACAATTCACAGGAAGCTTCTGGTCATGTCCCTCAATCGGTAAGTGGAACAAATCAGCTTCCAATGCTTTAGCTGACCATTGCAGCTCTCTCCCTCGCAACAGCAAACAGAAACAAGGCATACCTTGGCGACCGAGCCCTTTCAACCCACCTTGAAGGTGCTAGCAGACCTCGAACGCGACGATCCCAAGTTCGCCTTTCCAGCAGCTCGACTTGTTGGACTCTATCGACGTCTCTGGGAGT